CCCCCTTTTTTTTTTTAAGACAGTTGTTTGAGGGCTTGTCAGCCAAGGAATGGAGTAGGGACAGAGGCACAGACGGGTCAGCGGAATCATTGCTGCAAGGCATGAAATTTGGTTTGCTAAATATTTAAAGAAAGTTGGAGCCGTTTTTGTTTTCTCCCTTTCACTTGTAAATGGAAACTGAATTTTCAGTGATGGCTCTGATAAATACTGCACCCAGTTAAGTAATGCAGTTGGTTTTCTTTTGTGTCCATCTTTAAAAGGCCAGAGTAGGGGTAAAAATCACATTCTTTAAGATCATTCCCTCTTTTCAAACTCAGTCCCAACACTGGCACAAACTAAAGTGGCTATTTAAAAAAAAAAAGACAAATACATTTTAATGATGCATATCAGAATCCTGCAAAGGGAAAACCTGGAAATTTTCCCCTCTGAAATTTTTGTTTGTGGAGTTAGAGGTGCATTGTTTCTCTCTGTGTCCCCTGCGCACATGGTGCCACGGGACTTGAAGCTGCAATCCACATAGGGGAATACTTGAATTTAAACAAAAACCTAATGGCCACAAATGTAAAACTGACAGGAGCTTTTCCTTCAGCCCTGATGCTCTGTAAAATCTTTGCAACTAGTTCTACCCAACCTAAATATTGAGTCCAACTTGACCTTTCTCATGATCTCCCTCCTCCTGCCGATACATTTTTAATTTTCTTTTTCTTTTGGTTAGTCAGCGGCCAGGAGAGCAGGGACTTGTTGTGCCAACTGTCAGACAACCACCACGACCTTATGGCGACGTAATGCAAACGGGGACCCAGTTTGTAATGCCTGTGGACTCTACTATAAATTGCACAATGTGAGTATTTACTCATCTCATGTGTCGCTGCTTGCCTCGCTGGGATTGATGTCTTAACTGCATGGTGTACACTAGGCTTTTATTGGTTTCAGGGTTTTGGTTGTTGTTTTATTCCTTCCCCCGTCTCTAAGGTTCCCCTGGGAAGTGACAGCCATTCTTTGTCGGCATAGTGATGCTAAGTTCAGTGACATTACAATGTATTAGCTTGGCTTCTAACGCTTGGGCAAATCAGGCAAAATAGAGCTACCACACTTGGTTTTAACTAAGCATGTTTTGTGTGCTGTTTCCCTCCAGAAACATAGAGGCCATTTGGAATGGGCTCCGTGCAAAAATTAATCCCAATGGGGCATCTTCATTTTGATTTTTTTATTTTTCCAAAATAATTGCATCTAAGGCTTTGTTTTATTCAATTTTTTTTTAAAAAAGAA